CTTGCCATCTGCTGGGTAAGAATCATATGGACAGCAAGCTGTTCCCACTGAAGACAAGAGGAAAGTAAGTTTTCCCATCCCTGAACAGACTGAATTTTGTAGGCACATTCTAATTATTATTTCACTTTATGGGAATTAACACTGGTTATAAAAAATCCTTTTCTTAGATAATCTTTCATTTTTCATAAACAGGGTTAGCATCGTCTAGGTACCATTTACTTAACTGAGATTGCCCAGATAAAAGATCTTACTAATAGAAACTATAAGATAAACTGTCCTAACCTGTCAGAATTAACAAATTCTGAGTTAGAGCCAAATAATCTTTACTGCAGCACTGGATATAATTTCTAAAAAGTTAGAATTGCTTCGAAATTACATTTGGAGGCACTAGAGGACTGTTGGTATTCAGTAGAGTGCTCAGGCCCTGGGCTCATCCCAGGCAGTGCATAAGCCAGTTGAAGTGTGCCTGTCTGAGTAGCATCCCAACACTAGGGAGGCAGAGGCAGGTGTGTTTGAAGGCAGGGTCATCATGAGCTATATAGGGAGCAGAGGTCAGTCTGAACTACATGACAGCCTGTCTAAAATAAAATTGTTTCAAGGAAAACAAGTCTGAAAGCATTTTGCCATCTAGTAGGGCAAAGTGTGCATGTACACGGGTGTTAAGAGTCATGACTGGAGCTTTAGTGTGGCCACCTGTCACATGGCCCACTGAGAGCTAAGAAGTTAGTTTCATGTTTGTGGCTGTAGACAAGTTTAAGCACACAGTAGTTAGAATAGTGCTAGTTGAATCTTGAGATTAGAGTGGTTAAAAGGTCATGCACACTAAAGGTTTTTAAAGTGTTAATGTTTTGGGAGAGTGGGTTTTGTTTAATTTGTCCTTTGTAATGGTGATGTTTTACTGAGTCAGGAAATGGGAAGGGACTTTAGAGGTTGTTAGGAGCAGGAAGGATGGAAGATGGTGCATTGTAGATGATCCCCTTCTGTGGGATCCTTGAAACCTTCCTTGGATGTGAATGATCAAAACTTTCTGAAATAATAGTCCAATATGATGGAACCCTGTGCTCTTACTGTGGACTGGGTTTGTAAAATAAATATTTCCCTTTAGAGTATCTTTGAGAGGAAAGGGGAACTGTGGTTAGTATGTAAAATGAATTTTGGAGCCAAGGAAGATGGCTCTGGGTTGGAGTGTTTGCTATTAGTCTGAGTTTGGTCCTTCAGACCTGTACGGTGAACGGAGATAAATGACTACTGCCAGTTGTCCTCTGACCTCTACACACCCACACCATAGAAGACATGTGCATGCATGTACCCAGAGGAAATAAGTGTAATTAAAGTGTTAGTGTCCTTGAACAAAATGTACGTACTGCTTTTATTAGGCTTAGCCCTCAGATGCACATCTGTGTCACTTTCCTATGAGGAGCTGGTACCTGTGTAAAGATGTACACATCTCCTTGGATGATAAGACACTACAGCTGACGGGCTCTGTGTTTGGCAGGCATGCTCTCTAATACAAGTGATGTGAGTCTCAAGAAAACCAACCGAGGATTTGGGAACTTATCTGTAGTTGTGAGCTTGATAGCTTTCCACAACTATGTAAAATGACATGCATCTGTAGGGCAGGGACTTTCTTCATAGAGTTCACCTAAAACCATACAAGGCAGAAGCATGTTTGGAAATCCTGTTAATCTTTTTTTGTTAAGCTAGAGATCTGCAAAAATAAAAAAATAACTACCATTATTAATGTTTGTGTAATTTTTTTTTTTTTTTTTTTTGGTTTTTACGAGACAGGGTTTCTCTGTATTGTTTTGGAGGCTATCGGTCCAGCCCGGCCTCGAACTCACAGAGATCCGCCTGCCTCTGCCTCCCGAGTGCTGGGACTAAAGGTGTGCACCACCACCGCCCGGCTGTAATTTTTGAAAATAACAAAAAATATTAAGTATGGTGGACTTTTAAGTATTTTTCCGAAATAACAGTACATTCCACATAAACAAAAGATCTTTGGAGTCTTCAGAGTGTGTTTTGCTGACACCAAAAGCTTTGAAACCTACCACCTAAGAATGCTGGTCAGCCATATAACTAACCTGTTCTACTGTCAGTCTTTAACATGTAGTTGGCATTGAATCTTTGGAGCTCTATCCTTAACAGCACTGCTGAGAAATGGTAGCTCTGAACCTCAGTAGTATATAGCCCAAGTTGTTCATGAGTGTGCTACAATCCTCCTGTCTGCTGAGTACTGCCGTCACACCTGGCTTTAGAGTGAGAGAGGAGAGAGAGAGAGGAGAGAGGAGAGAGAGAGAGTGCCATTTTGCGTCCTACTCTATTGCTTTCTACGTTACTTCCTTGAGACAGTGTCTCATTGAACTGGATACTTGGCATTTTAGCTAAACTGCCTTTCTGAGCACATTCTAATGTTGGGGCTACCAGTGTAGTGTAGTGCATGTAGCTATACCAAGCTTTGTATGTGGGTGCTGGAGATTTGAACTTGGGTCCTCATGTTTACAAAGCAAGTATCCCATTGAACCACCCCAAACCCCTACATAAAATTTTAATGTTGTAGCTTTATTGTATATTCTATACTTCTGTTTAATAGGAAACAGTGGGTTTTAACTGAGAGGAGGGGAAAATGCCTTTTATAGTCTAACTCAGTGGCTCACGCCTTTAATTTTAGCATTCAGGAGGAGACTAAAGACAGTAGGATTGCCATGAACTCCAGGGCATCTTGGACTAGATCCAGCCCTGTTCAGAAAGAGACTGAAAGAGACCATGCACATGCTTAGAGATGTAGAAAGTTAATTATAACTTTAGTACATTCAGAAATGGCCACTTTTTTCTTCTTTGGGGAGAAATTGTTAATATGATATGATTACAGTTTCGTGGCCACTTTTTTATATGGACTGTAATGTGTAGTATGCAGAATTGGGTTAGAAATTGGTTTTGGGCTTGGTACCCAGGACCTGTGTATACTAGGCAACACAAGTGTTTGCTGCTCTTACTTAGTTTTATAAAATGGTCTCCTTGTATAGCTGAGGTTGGCCTTGAGCTAGCCTTTCTCCTGTCCTCCCTATCTCCTCAGTACTGAGATTTACATACCTGTTGCTGTGTTGCCAGGCACTAAAATTATTTTTTACTTATACCTTATGAATATGTTTCATTTTGTTTGTACTTTTGTCCCAATACATTCTGTGCTTTTATTTCACAAACTGAGCTTTATTAGTTTTCTGCATTGGCAGAGTTATGAAAAAATTTTCAAATACAGAATAATTATTACAAATGACTTCTCATTCTATTTAGCAGAATTAACTGCATTTTTTTATTTTTTTATTTTTTTGCTTTTGATTTCTTCAAGACAGGGTTTCTCTGTGTAACAGCTCTGACTGTCCTGGAACTAGATCAGGCTGGCCTCTTGATTCACTGATTCACTGAAATTCACCTGCCTCTGCCTCCCGAGTGCTGGGACTAAAGGTGTGAGCTACTGTGCCTGGCACATTTTTACTTCTTAATATTCAGGAGTGTTCTAAATCCCTAGAAATATGTTTGTTTTTCAAGTTAACTGTACTTTTTACCCCAGTGTTGGGGATCCAATCCATGCTAGGCGGACACTCTTACCAGTGAGCTACATTTTCATCTATAACTTGAGTCTTTAAGAAATTCTTTTTAAGTTAATTTACGTGTATGAGTGTTTTCTTTGCAAGAATGTCAGTATACCACATGTGTGTCTGTTGCCTGTGGGAGTCAGATGAGGGTATTAGATTTTCTGGATATACCCTGGAATTATGGGTGCTGGGGTCCAAACCCAAGTCCTCTGCAAAAGTAACAAATGCTCTTAATTGCTGAGCCATCCCTCCAATCCCTGTAAGTTGGATCTTTTAAATGCTCTTCATTCCTGATATTATTGTGATTTTTTTTTTGTCTATGTAAGTACTCAGTGTTATGAAATAAATACAGGCATTCCAGTTTACTCTAAGAATCAGTTTCTGACTTTCTTGTTTTGTTGTCTGTTTAGTTTTTGAGGTGCTATATTGGTCCTGTAGCCCGGTCCAGCCAGTAGTTTCTAAACTCTTTAGTTGGATTTTTGTGGCTAGCTTTCCATGTGATAGAAACTATAATGACACCTGTAACTACATGGATTAGACACATGAGGTCTAAAAGGTTGTTGTCACTTTAAGGATTCTTGGAATGTTTGCTCTTTGTCTTGGGTTACTAGGGAGACCACAGTTAGCTGGAAGGCAGTTGGAGCCAGCAGAGAGAGGAGTAAGGTGAGGAGTAAGAGGTGGGTTCTGCTCAGAATCGCTGGCCCTGGCCATTATAGTTTTCCGAGACCTGGCAGGAAGCTGAGAGAGAGTTTAGATTATGATCATATGAAAGAGGAAAGGAGAGGGCTGGATTTTTGGGAGGATGGGGGTGGAAGGTGTTATGCTTTTTTGACATAGAGCCTGAGAACAGTGTCATTAGTTAGGACCTTAACAGAAAGATTGGGCAAAATCAAAATGTTTACTTATTTAGGATTGAGACGGTCTCCTTGTATAGCCCAGACTGGTATCAAACTCACAGTCTTGTTCTGTCTGCTTCAGTCCATATGTGCCACCCTGCCTGGCTCTCACATATCACATTGATGTTCAGTAAATATACATTTAGTTCTTGTAAGTTTCTTATTTTAAATTAACATGATACTTATATACTACTAAGATTAAAAAAACAATTGCACAATTTTGTTATTTAGACTTTCTACCTTTTGTGTTTCTCCTCAATGTTGGGTTTCTTTGTGCTGGGTCTGTTTCATGATAAGCTGCTAATTGAATTCAGAAGCAACTGATGCCCTGAGCCACCGCCTTCTCTCCTTGTCTTCGACTCTTGCCTGAATGGCCCCTTCTTTCAGAATATACCAATAGCACTACTTCCTACTCAGAGTAGGTTAAATAGGATTTGCTTTTTCTTGGTTGTTGCTGTGTGATGTAGTCACAGTTGCTTAAGATCTGTAACATGTTTTCTCTTTGCTGTAGGAGCTTGCTCAAGAAGCAGTCCACACTGTCTCTTTGGTTGTTGGAAGCTCCAGAATCTTCTCACTCATGAGCTGAGACTGACAAAGGTGTGGTGAAGCTTGGCATCTGCTGCACCCGTTTCCCCAGGGTTATTGTTACATGTGGGATTGTCAGCCAAAGATTTCCACGCTTTCAGTTAGGGCATAGGTAAGTGGCATCATTTGTATATGTATAAAGAAATGAGTATAATGTGGCATTTATATGTGTTTTTACTAATCTAAAGTACCAGATTTTATACTCTTTAGCACAGCTTTGTTTAATGAATGGCCATTTTAGTTAAGAATTTTTGACTCACTGTTTTCACTTTGACTATGCTATCATTTTGTAAACCTTAATTGTATAGTTTCTGTCTAATTAGAAACCTGTTTTGTAGAGGAAAAGTGGAGATGCCTCTTGGGTTCTTTCTGGGCTGGAGGACTTCTTAGGAAAGGCAGCAGGGGTGGCCCCTAAGTAGAGATGCAGTCTTGTCTGAACTTAGGATGCAGTTATCTTGCTTCAGCCTGTGTCTGGAATGTGCTCAGTGGTAAAATGAGAGAGCTTAGTTTAAAAATGTTTTGGTACAAAACTTGTTTTGCCTAAACAGCAAGACCAAATTTCTCTCCCCAAAATTTTATAATTAGAATGAACAAGCCATTATAGTAGGTACAGTTTGATACTTACTCAGCTGTGTTTAATTTTTTTCTACTTTAAAGTTTTTTTTTTAAACTTTTATGTGTGTACGTGACTATCATGATGTGTGTGCAGTGCCCACAGAGGCCAGAGGGGCTGAGAGTAGAGTAAGTTAATAGCTCTCTTGTGGATGCTGGGATTCAAGCTCAGCTCCTGAAGAGCAGTCAGTGGTTCTCACTGCTGAGCATCTCTCCAGCCCTAGCTATGTGTATTTAAAAGGATGCACTGGGTGGATATGGTGGTGATGTTTCTAATCTCAGCAGTGAGGAGGTAGAGGCAGGTAGGTTTCTGAGTTCAAGGCCAGACTGGTCTCCATAGCAAGTTCTAGGCCTCTCAGTTACATGGTGAGACCCTGAGGCCAGCCCTCCTCTTTAAGTGACAGCAGTTCAATGCCTTTGTTTCTATCCTTGTTATCCAGCAGTCTGAGGAGTTGTATTATGACTTAGAACAACTGTTGGTACCTGACTTAGTTGAGTTCTCTGACTTTTACCGTTTTAGGGGAGGTCACCTAAGAGGTGACTAAGAAGTGATTCTTCCCTCAGTGGCTTCACGTGACCTGAAGGCCATAGGTGATAAAGATCAGTACTAGGCAACTGCTGTAGCTGAGTGACAATTATTTACTAAACTACTAGGAAGGAAAATACTATTTAGGCTACTGATAATCTTAAAGTTTCTGTGTTTTGCATTTTTAGGGTTTTCTTTAATACCAATCCTTTCCCTAAGATGGAACATGCAATAATATCATTCATCACTATCATTTAAATGCTATTAAAGCCTGGACAGCTAGGAAAAGAATTTTCAAGGTATATACCTTTTCCAGTTTTGTCTTTGTAAATAAGAATGAAAATTCCGTCTTTTAGAAAGAAAAGACCTGAGTGTGTGGTAGTACATGCTATAGTCTCAGCTCTTGGGATGCTAGGGCATGAGGGTCACCCCAAGTTTTTAAAGCTGACCTTTGCCACATGGTAGTAGCAAGACACCTTAGAGAGGGATACAGACTTGGGGCTATTTGGACAGTAATATACATTGAAGCTGTGGCACTGTGTTCAGGAATTTGAGCAGTTGTTCCTTGTTGGTGTCTACAAGAGATACTCCATGCACAGACACACTGTCCCTTCCAGTCTAGATCCTGGATAAGAATAAAAACAAAACAAACAAAAAACAGGGCCAACGCCCCAGCTAGCCTTGGTCAGACTTCTGTGGACAGACCCAGGAGTGGCACACACCATGTGGCCTGTGCTCGCTGATGGTCATGGGCAGCCTGACACTCTACAGAGTGCCTGGAGAATGGCATGGCCTCCAGCACCACTCACATGTCTGTTGGCCTTCCTGTTTGGGTTTTCATGCTGCTTGAAGTGCCCTCACTTCTTAGTTTCCTAGCTATTTTGTGTTGGTTCACTTTCTCAGCTGGATTATTTTCTGCAGAACATTTGCTGCGCACACACCCGTAGAAACAGTGATCAGAAGCATCTAGTGTGTGTGCAGTTCTGCTCCTCTAAGAAAATGTCCTATTGCCACTTCTGGTAAGGGGCATTCACTAGGTGTCCCCAGTGTATGGCCAGCCAAGACTACGTGGTGTGGTGGCTTGCTAGTTTGTTGGTCACAGTGTGATTGCCTTTTATCATTAGGTATGGATGATAAAGGGCACCTGAGCAATGAGGAAGCACCCAAGGCTATCAAACCCACCAGTAAAGAGTTCAGGAAAACCTGGGGGTTTAGAAGAACCACGATTGCCAAACGTGAGGGTGCCGGAGACACCGAGGTGGACCCCAGTGAGCAGCCACCACAACAGCATAGCCTCTCTCTGCGCCGCAGTGGACGACAGCCAAAGCGCACCGAGAGAGTAGAAGAGTTCCTCACCACAGTTCGCCGCCGAGGGAGAAAGAGTGTGCCAGTCTCACTGGAGGATTCCAGTGAACCCACATCCTCCACAGTCACTGATGTGGAGACAGCCTCAGAGGGCAGTGTGGAGAGTAGTTCTGAGGTCAGAAGTGGCCCTGCGCCTGGCTCCTCAGGGAAAGAACATCCTGCCTCTTCTGAAAAGGCAAAAGGAGGTGATGAGGAAGAAGACACCTCTGACAGTGACAGTGATGGCCTTACTTTGAAGGAGCTTCAGAACCGCCTTCGAAGAAAGCGAGAACAAGAACCCGCCGAGAGGCCCCTGAGAGGCATTCAGAATCGCCTTCGGAAGAAGCGCAGAGAGGAGGACCCTGCCGACACTGGGAGTGTCCTAACTGGCAGCACTGATGAGAGTTTACCTCTCTGTAAGCCGGAGCCTGAGGCTAGTCAGGGACCAGTGTCCCAGTCAGAGAAAGATGACAGAGAAAATCAGTCAGAGGGGAAAGCAGCTCAGGGAAGTAAAGAGGAAGGCCCCAGGGATGCAGGCAAACCAAAGCCTGAGTGTGAGGTTTACGACCCCAATGCCCTGTACTGCATCTGCCGCCAGCCTCACAACAACAGGTAGGTGGAGGGAGAGAGCTTGTGCCCTTTTCAGAGAGCCAAGGGATGGAGACAGCAGAAAGGCTCCATTTGCTTTGGTGCCAAAGAGCTTAAAGCTGGGCTTGCCAAGCAGTTGGTTTATTGAAAAAAGATGGATGGGTCCTGTAAAAAAAAGAAACAGGAAGAATGCGTACATGTGGACTATCTAGACCCACTCTCTGCACTGTAACAGCCAACAGCTCTCCCCTGTGGCACTCACATGGTCACTTGTATACAGTCAAAGTGTCGAGCATGAGATGACAAGCTCACTGTCTCGATCTCAAGCTATGTGCAACCTTTGGACAGTATAGATAGGTGAGAACCATCTATTGTCCGAAAGGTCCTACCGGAGAGTGTTACTCTAATGTCTCTAGTTCACTCTTAAATAGTGGTCCAGCCAAAAGATGAAGGGCTGAGGATGTAACTCAGTGGTTAGAGTGCTTGCTTAGCATGCATGATGCCCTGGGTTTGAACTCCAATGCCTCATAAAATGTTGTGGTGGCATATACTTGTAATCTCAGCGTTCAGTAGAAGCAGGAAGATCAGAAATTCAAGGTCATCCTTGGCTATATAGGGAGCTTGAGACATGTGAAACTGTCTCAAAAAAATAAGTAAATAGAAAAAAAATAAAAAGCAGATTTGTAATGCTGGTAACAAAAGGAAGGGCACATGGATGTTTTTAGTTCTGATCTCACTTTATTTGCTTGTTTTCATAATAGAATTTTAAGTTTGGGTGATAGTGTTGTGCAGTAACCACATAACCTTCCCATCATTTCAGGTTTATGATCTGCTGTGATCGATGTGAGGAGTGGTTCCACGGTGACTGTGTGGGCATCTCTGAGGCCCGAGGGCGGCTCCTGGAAAGGAATGGGGAAGACTACATCTGCCCAAATTGCACCATTTTGCAAGTGCAGGATGAGACGAGTGCCAGTGCCACTGATGAGCAGGACACTGGGTGCAGACTGACAGGTGCTGACGGCACAGACTGTACAAGTATAGGGATAGTAGAGCAGAAGTCTGGTGAAGACCAGGGGATAAAGGGTAGAATTGAAAAGGCGGCAAACCCCAGCGGCAAGAAAAAACTCAAGATATTCCAGCCTGTAAGTATCTATTCGCCATGACAAGCACAAATGTTGGGCTCAGTGCTGGTGAAAGCACCCGAGGCTAGGAAGGTGCCTTTTCTTTGGAACAATTAGGCTTGCTGTGGGGGCAGATACTGGATCTGATACAGGTCTGTACCCTGCAAAGCAGCAGCCTGCTGTTGCTTCCATCTTGTATCAGCTTAATGTTATGTTTGCACATGTGTCTGTGTCACTCAGATTGACCTCAGGTTGTGGTCCTTCTGCCTTAACATCCTTAATTTTTAGTACTAGGACTACAGGTATGTACCAACAACCATACTCTAATGGTCCCTTAAAGGAAAAAATACACATTTCTCCATACTGCTGTTGACTAAGGTTGGAAAAAAATAACCTTTTAACTTGTTTTTGGTGTTACATGTTTTGAGTGCTGACAGAATTATTGACAGAATAGTGACTTTTATTCTCCTCTTAGCATCTTGATCTGAGTTGTTACAGGTCAGTTACTGATTGGGTCGTTTCTCTGCCTGCCCAGTGTTTTCTGCATTCTTCCTACTTGATTCATGTTATCTCATGGGGCCATGATGTTCACATTTCCCGTGAACTAAGTAAGACTAGCAGTCTTTGCTGCTAAGGAGAACTAGCTCCTGTTCTCAATGTCTGCATTGCATTTCTCATGAGAGGTGCCACTGTTACATGCATTTTTATTTTGGTTCCTTGACCACCATAGCCTGCCTCCCAGTAGGTGTAGTCTAGAATGCCACTGCCTTGGCTAGCATTCATGTGTGCTGCAAGGTGAAAGAGTGATGACTAAAGGAAAATGCGGTGCTATTGGTACCATTTACTAAAGGAAGTTGTCAATTTGATGTTTTTATTGCCAGTATTATGGACATGGCCTGACTTTTTATTCTGTGTAAACTTAGATTTGCTAGTAGAACATCAACTATGTTGAATATTTATCCTGAACACTGACATTTTGCTGAATCAGTGTAAGGGGCGTATTAATGTGTACTTAGCTTTTCCATCATCATGCCATTAGAAGTTGTAAGCAGAGACATGCATCTGTGCTGTTGCCAGTGTGTGGTTTCTGTCACTGTGTTACAGACTTAGCTTACAATCCTACTCCCGGTCTCCATGGGTCAGATCCTGGTACAGAGCCTGGACCCCTAAGGGGCACAGTTTTCCCAAGGCCTCAGCTTGGCTAGGGCTGTGGTATCATTAGGAGGTATCTAGAGCCAGGTGGTGGTGGTGCACTCGCCTTTAATCCCAGCACTTGGAAGGCAGAGGCAGGTGGATCTCAGTGAGTTTAAGGCCAGCCTGGTCTACAGAATGAGATCCAGAACAGCCAGGGCTGTTACACAGAGAAACCCTGTCTCGGAAAAAAGAAAGAGAGAGGGAAGGGGGGGGAAAGTAGCTAGAGATGATCCTCTTGGGGGCTTTCAAAATGTCAGGCATATGTCCCATTCAGTCTTTCTGATAGACTTAAAAATGAATGGTTTTACATTGTTACTAGTTATCCAAAATGCATGTTTAATTGGGTATCCTGTCTTTTGGCAGTGTTACCACCATCCCCCCAAAAAGGCTACCTGTCTTCAAAACCAACTGGATCTCTTCTCTTTTAGGGAATGGCACATTTTCTCTTTTAAGAATTTTCACCTGGGGCCTGGGGGTGACAGATTTCACACTCTGGAGGCAGTATGAGTTCAAGTCTTACCTGGTCTATATAATGAGTTCTAGGCCAGCCAAGACTACATTAGGAGACTTTTTCTTTTTCCCCAGAGACCTGGAGAGGTAGCTCAGCGATTAAGAACACTAGATGTACTTCCAGAGGATCTGGGTTCAATTCACAGCATCCACATGGTGGCTCACTACCATGTAACTCAAGTGTCAGGGAATTGGTTGCCCTCTTCTGACTTCTGTGATACTGCCTGCATGTAGAGGAACATACATGTAGGCAAAACACTCATACACATAAAGGAATTTTAATCTGGGCAAGAGTCTAATTTGTATCTCATTAAATACACTTACTTTTTTTAACCAGATCGATTTTTTTTTTTCAAAAGCAGGGTTTCTCTGTATTGCTTTGGAGGTTGGCCTGGCCTGCAACTTGCTCTGTAGACCAGGCTGACCTGGAACTCACAGAGGTCCGCCTGCCTTTGCCTCTCGAGTGCTGGGATTAAAGGCGTGTGCTGCCAATGCCTGGCTCATATTTTTACTTTTTAAATAATGTTTTTAATGTGTATATCTGGGAGAAGGCTGTAAGTGCTCTCAGAGGTCAGAAGTCTAAAGTTACAGGTGAGGGTGAGCTGCCTGACAAGGTCTCTTCTGAAAGCATTCTGAGCTGTATTTCCAGCCCTGCTGCGGCTCTTGGTTTCATGGGACCTGCACATGTTTTCTGTAGAGGGCATATGTTGAACTGAAGCTCCCACATGTATATAAAGCTTGGCAAGACAGTCAAGGGGGACATGGGTTTCATGCAGTTCATATAACAAAGACAGGGCCTTACTATGTAGCCTAGACTAGCCTAGAACTTTGGAATCTGCTGCCTTCCTTTTCCAAGTACTAGAATTGTATTAAAGATTATACTGGACTGGGCTGGAGAGATGGCTCAGAGGTTAAGAGCACTGACTACTCTTCCAGAGGACCTGAGTTCAATTCCCAGCAACCACATGGTGGCTCACAACCATTTGTAATGAGATCTGGTGCCCTCTTCTGGCATGCAGATATGAATGCAGGCAGAATACTGTATATATAATAAATAAATCTTTACAAAAAGATTATGCCATGGTACACAGCTAATGAAAAAATTCATTTCTATTCATATCAAAAATATTGTTAGAGCCAGCCATAATGTTAGTTCTAGCACTAGGGAGGCATAAGCAGGTAGATCTCTGAGTTCAAGGCCAGTCAGGTCTGCATAGCAAGTTTCAGGCCAGCCAGAATTAATGAGACACACTCTCGAAAACCACCCAGACCAAAAAAACAAAAAATGAAAAATGCTGCCTTTGTCTCAATTGTAGTGACCATCGGTGCCATCAATAGTGCTGTCACAGCACTCACTACTAGTGTCAGCATGTACATTGTCTGAAGTTAACCTGTTTCATTCTGCAGGTCGTAGAGGCTCCTGGTGCTGCTAAGTGCATTGGCCCTGGGTGTTCTAATGTAGCACAGCCTGACTCGGTGTACTGCAGCAATGATTGCATTCTCAAGCATGCTGCAGCTACCATGAGATTTTTAAGTTCAGGTAAAGAACAAAAACCAAAACCCAAGGAAAAGGTCAAGATGAAGACAGAAAAATTCAGTCTTCCAAAATGCAGTGTTCAGGTAAGCTGACCAAAGTCACCTTCAGGACAATTGAAACAAAGTATTTGAAAAGTACTCTTCATAGATTTGTTTCTGTTTGCATGAGGAGTGCAGGGAACAACAGTTGCCAACAAAATTTAGATCACATTTTTCTTATCTCTTTCCCCATTTGCTGAGGGGTTAGTTAACATGAATATAGTAAAACAAGCAAGCAGGTGGGTTTTCTCTTGTGTTTTGGTTTTTCTTTTTCAAGTCAGGGTCTCCCTATGGAGCTCTGACTGTCCTGGAACAAGTTCTGTAGACCAGGCTGGCCTCAAACTCAAAGATACTCACCTGCCTCTGCCTCCCAAGTGCTAGGATTAAAGGCATGCACCACCACCACCTGGCCAGGCCAGTCTTATGATTTCTACATATCCCTTGAAGAGTATTTCCTTTGTTTTAAAGGCAGTTCTGAGCTCAGGTAGGCCTTGATGATTTTCTTCCTTACCCTCCACCCAGTTGGGATTTCAGCTTTGTCATCAAGCCTGTTACTTTGAGTCTTCAGGCTCCCAGAGAAGCAGTTGCTCTATTCAGTGTGAGGGTGATGGTGCAGAAAAGTGGGGTGTGGCCAGCTTCCCACAGGGAATGCAAATACCATGTGTCCTCTGCAGGTCCTCATACCCACACGCAGGCCCTTTTTACTTCGTTTCTAGCTTGTTTCACCATCTTGCAGAGAGGTTTCGTGCCTCAGCCAGGCTACACACAGATCTGGGTCAGGAACCTTTACATTACCCAGATGTTACATGAGAGGGCTAATGGTTATTGGATGTGTAGACATAGCCATATGGAATCACAAGATTGTGCTTAGCTTGGGTGAAGGGTCTTAAGATACCAAAATAAAAGGCATTATCGTGTCTCTAATTGGTCATTGACGAAAAGGTATGACTTCAGACCTTAATAATTGGGATTTCACTGATTATCCAGGCAGGGATTAAAATCTCTTCTGTACACAAGAGACTAGCTTCAGAGAAAAAAGAAAACCCAGTGAAGAAAGTGATGGTGGCTCCTAGGAGTGAAACTTGTGGGAAGGAGATAACCTGCGAAAGCACCACACCATCCTGGGCGAGTGACCACAACTACAATGCCGTGAAGCCCGAGAAGCCTGAGAAGCCCACCGCACTCTCTCCTACCCTATTGAGTAAATGTACGTATCACCTAAAGGCTGGCTCCCATGCCCCTCCCATCATCTGGATGGCTGCCTGGGGAGTGGATTCCTGGGTGTTCTGATGCTCTGGTAGCCAGCAGCTCACCACCAGCCAGAAACAGAAATCAAGATGCTCTGGATGGGCCCCAGGTGTTCCTGCTTAGCTGTGGAGCTTCTCTGGGTGTCTCCAAAAGAGCTGTGTTGGCCTCGATGCTGAGAGCCTCACACTGGAGGCAATTTCTGTCTCAGTTTCAGACCTGGTGAGTATTTGCACTGCTCTCAAGATGGGACTGCATCAGTGCACATCAAACTCGGCTTAGTATGCAGACAACAGTTCCTCATGGGACAGCCTGCATAAACCATGAGGAGGTTTTCCACATTGCTTTTTTTTCATTTGTTTTTTGAGACAAGGTTTCTCTGTAGCTTTGGTGCCTCTCCTGGCATTTGCTCTGTAGACCAGGCTGACCTCAAACTCACGGAGATGCCTGCCTTTGTCTCCCAAGTGCGCCACCACTGCCAGGCTACATTACCTAGTTTCTGCACATGAAGTCATCACTGCTCTTCTGTAGCAAAATTAATTTTTCTGGAGGTAGGATATATTCGAAAAGGACAGGTAGATCAATTCCTTATGTCTGTTTCACATACTGCACACCTACATAATAAACAGGTTCACATTTTGAAGGTCATCTGTCGCTGCTGATACCTTATGGTGAGTAATCATGGTGGCCTTTACCCTAGTGCAGTATCCTCATAAAAGTGAGAATTGTAGGTAGTGGCTCCCAGATTACTTTTAGATGTTTAGATTATTAGCCTGCCCCACATTTCAAATAATTGAAATGGGAACAGTTTGAATAAATTTTTGAAACCCCCATTAGATCACAAAAATTGAAGCCATTTTTGCTTAATAACCTCATGCTCTACAAGGTACTAGACCCTGCGTACAATGGTTTCAAGTGAATTTTCAGTTATACTCTTGATAGTGTTGTGTTCCATCTCTGTCTACCCTTGGCTAGCCCAGATAGGGTTCTTATAGCCTAGTCTAGCCTTAAACTTGCTGTGAAGCTGAAGGTGACCTTAAACTTATGAAGGGTGTTAGTATTTACAGACACACACCTGATTTCTGTTCTCAGATGTGAACTCAGGGCCTATTAGTCAAGCTAGATAATCTACCAACTAAACTGCATTCCTGATCTTCCTATCTTCATTTCCTGAGTGCTGGGGTTATAGGCATGTGCTTCTGGGGACCAAACCCAGAACTGCATACATAACTAGGTAAGCACTACTGACTAACCTTTACCCCACTCCCATTAGTACATACTGTACCTTTTGAAAAATATCACAGGGTTAGAGAGCCCTGAATTCTACAAGTATAAACATGCTACACTTCTTACTGGCCTTGCATCAAGTTAACTGGGGGGGGGGGCAACTTCTTACAGGAAGGTTCACAAAAGGAGAATACATTTATGCATGGTGTTATAGAGGTCTAGAGTTCTAATGTAAGTTGATGTGAGGACTGTGAGTTCTAGGCTAGTTGGGGTTGTAGAATGAGAACCTGACTCCAAGGCAAAGGGGAGGGAAAGGAATGTAAAAGGCCCAAGAAAGAGTAAATTAGCCTACTCTGCTGCATTATGACAGGCCCTGGCACACCTCGACAGTTGAGTAGTGAGTTTGTTTGCAGAGGATGTGTGTCGAGTCTCAGGTGTTCTTTCTGTTAGAGCAGCTCTACAACAGCAGCACTGTGCATGAAGTAGAATTAGAGCCAGGCACCACCTCTCAGAATAAGGAAGGACCCACCAAGTGTAGCTCAGGTGTCTGTAGACCTAACAGTACAGGACATAAATGTGGGGTAGAGTCATGTCCCTGGGAGCTGTAGGGTGATGTGACTCAGTTCATCTTTATTTGTGTGCCCAGAATGGAGCAGCTGCTCTTGAAGTTCTGACTCAGGGTCTCACTCTAGAAGCAGCCAACCCTCTAGTTTCCTTCTCAGACCCTGGTGAGTATATTGCCTATGTGGTATCCTAGATGGAGAATAGTGGTCCTAAATCTGAGTGCTGTCTTCCCCCTCCCACGAGGTTGGGAGATACGGAAGACTCCTCGGGTCATCAAAGTGACCAGTTTATTTTTATTTTTGTTCTGTTTTGAGACAGGGTTTCTCTGTGTAGACTTGGCTGTCCTGGAACTCAGATCCACCTGCGTTCTGAGTGTTAGGACTAAAGGTGTTGTGCCAGCACTGCCCAGCTGGTGACCGGCTCTGTTCTCAGTTTCTTTTTCTTTTACCTCTCCCACCTTGCCTTACACATTGGCTCTTTAGTAGAGCTGATGGACTCCAGGAGCAAGAAAGTGGTACACGTTAACAACTGATTAATCTTCCCAACATACCAGCATCTCAAAATTGACCGGCATCAGGGACATGTTTCTGAACCAGTTGCTTCTGTTTTTTCCTTTTATCCTGTAAATGTTATCTTCTAAACATTGAGAAGAGAGTGGTATCATCAGTGAGAAACACTGTCCCCTCTCTGCCTCTTGCTGTCCAAACAGGGCCAGTCCTCTTTGGCTCCTCTTCTCCTGCACAGTGGGAGGCACCACACAGCCTGTGCATCTGTGTCCCAAGGACTCTGGCCCTCCCTGTCTCCCATTACCTGTGTGCAGAACACTCATGAGGGAGTGGGGAGGGAATGGAGTGGGGGTTCAGAGTGAACCCAGTGCTGGGAACACTTCTACAATCTTCCGAATGGATGCTCACCATGTACACTGAGAAGACTGCATGGCAGAGCCGAGGAGCCCTGCTGCTGCTGCCCTCTGGGTGAATACAGGCAGGCAGCATGCTGCCTGCTCAGGAAGCCACACCTCCACATGCAGGTGATTCCATTTCACACACAGTTGTTCCTCTGATTCGTTTTTTTTCTAGAATATCTGTACAGGTCCCTTAATTTATAGAAACAATTGTCTTTTTTTTTAATTCCCAAAGATCTTGATACTGCCGTTAACCTTTCTTGTATCCTGTGTTTATTTCCTCTGACACCTCCCATTGTCAGGAGGGAAGTGGGCTGAACATTTGCCTAAAATATTCCTGGTTTATTAGTTTTAAAACAGAATTTGGTGTTTGTACTTGTATACACAATAACTAGTACTTTGGACTCACTAAATGGCTCATCAAGTGACTTAAAACACTAGGGTTTGAATAGATCTTGACATGACAGCAGTTCATCTGGGTGTGGGGATTTAATGGAAAACCCAACTGCCTATAAACCCAAATCCTGAGGATTGACTGCATCCTACCCATGTGGAAACAGTTTCCTTGTTGATGCATGCATCCTGCACAGGCACCAGGCGGGGTGGTAGATGGAACAGGGAGAAGATAGGTTTTTTACCAGGTTGTCTCAAGGTCTGGGCTCCAGAAGCACATCCCATGGGACCACGAAGGAATCAGTCATCTGTATTTGGAGGGTACCAGAAACCTGAAGCTATGGGTGGGCCTGTGTTTTATCAGCTGTATGAGCCGTTTATTTGTCTCCTCCAGAGTTGTTAGTGGTAATAAAATGGGACAGGGAAGCAGCTTTGCACATCTAAACCAAGCCCCTTCCAAAACAAAACGTGCTAAGGGGGTTATACTTAGCTGTTTTCTAATATAAATAAGAGCTGAAACTTGCAAGGTTGTCAGTTAAATTCTTTTGGTATTTTAAATCATTTTTGCTTTAATAAGTCTTTAAAGGCCTACTATTAAAAATTGTATCATAGCACTAACTTGAACATGCCAAGTGAGCCCCTAAGAATACTGTCCTACAGTCCCTGTGTGTCCTTCACCTCTGAAGTACCTTCTTGTAAACTTAAGGAACTGGACTCAAGAGTTATTAACACTCCAAGAAAATGCTTTTGATTGCATTGCTGATGTCAAGAGTACAGTGGTCGCCTCAGAAGATACCTACCACCATCTCTCAGTATATTTCCATAAAGTGGTAAAATGTACATAGTTGACAAGCTTAGTGTCCAAAGGTTAGAGAGTAAAGTAGAAGACCAGATTCTTTGCTGCTTTAATGAGGGTTTAGGTAACATGTGCCACAAACCGGACGATATCGGCAAGAATCTAAGGTAACTGGTTGCACTCTCTTCACCTGGTTCTCCACTGTGCCTCCAGCTTTGGACCCTTAGGTCTGCAGGGCTCAAGGAAGGCACATGAACTGTTTTAACATGTTCCCATCTTGTTTCAGTAAACAATTTAGGTACAAAGAAATAATGGTTAAAGTGAACTTTACTGAAGTCATCTGTACCTGTGTTTGGGGAAATCTGAGGAACAGCAGCTCAGCTCCCACATAGCTGGGCACACAACACAAACCGACATGGCCTCCACCAACTGCATTCCAGTGACTAATGTATGATGTATGAAATTAACATTACCCACCCAACATTATTTTAGCTAAAATTTCAAGACACTATGTGAATAGTCAGTATAAATTAGAGTGGTTTGCTGCTTTAAGATGGAAGTCAAATACTAGATGTCAGTAAGAAAAAAGATTTGGTTTTCCTTCCCCCAGAACATAGCAGGTGGATATGGACTGGGGTCATTGTAGTCACAGTGGGCATCTGAGGAGCATCCCTGACATAACCTGTGCTGCTTTTGTCCAGGTCTCGTTTTCTTATGTGAAAGTAAATCGGTACCCACTTTTTAATAGGCCATGTTTGAGATGGCCCTAGACACCTCTCCCTTATAGTCCCACCACAACCTCCTGAATAATGAGATTACAGGCATGTTTATGAGGCATTGATAAAGGTGTTTATTTGAAGATACATGTTTAGGGAGCAACAGCAAAACGTTCCACTTGCTACTGTCACACACACAATGGGAAACCCTATGTTACTTGTCCCACAGATGAGCAGAATTCAACTTGGTACTGGTTATGGTCACTCCTCAAATCAGTTCACTTTAGGGTGCTGGAGGAGAAATACCTACATGGGAACAAGCTTTGGCAGCCCCCTGTAAGGGGAATCACCAGGCAGGGTATCTGGGGGGGGGGTGGTTGGCATTCTGTAGATTTGGACCTCTGCCCTGTGTGTGGACCATGCTCTCGTTAGGCTTCAACTTCAATACATTTGCAGGGTTCTGCCCTAGAGCACGTGAGCAGGGTTAGTCCTCCATTTCTCCTTCCCTCCATTGTGGGCCATTACTGCCATCTGGTGGCCAGCAGTGTTCCATCTTCCTTTCTAATGAACCCATGGTGTGACAAGAGTAGTGTTTAGCCTTTGTGATCCCAAGCAGAACGGAGCAATCTACTTCTGTACTCCATCAACTTGAAGCGGCTTAGTTTCTATTACAAAAAACTGGTCTTGGCAGCAGTTGGCCTAGAATAGTGGTCAACACCACTGGAAACACCTTCCTCTTGCTACCCAATGTTGGTCAATACCTTCTTAACCCCTGCAAGAGGGCAGAGGAGGATACTTGCAGAACGACTCGATCAGTGGGATGGGTATGGGGTGGGGGAGCTCAGCATTTCCCTAGTGGCATCAGGTATGGCTTTGTTGTCTGGCAGAGAGAGCAACACACAGTGAAAAGTGCTGCGTGTAAGATAGGTCTCCCATTGGTTACAGCTACTTAGTTTTTATACAGTATACAGCTAAAAGTGATTTCTGGGGTTGAGGAGGTGGCTCAATGAGAAACTATTTGCCAGATAAGTACAAGTCACTGGTTTTGAACCCAGGAATTTTGGAAGGAAATGGAATAAGGATTTACAAATTGATTTATTGCTCTATTCGAAAATGAAAGTGATTCGCAGTTGCTGCTTTAATTCAGCATCACTGCTTTTCTTAGCTATAGGGGCCAGAGGAGCAAGCCAGTCCCTTGAATAATGGCAGTGTATAACTGTTGCCATGTTTTACACCCTCCAAAATAGTGTGTCAAGATGCTGGTAGGCAAATGACTAGTGACATCCATCATTTATGGGATATGTTTGCCAATTTATAATTACATAACATAACCTTTTGCACACTGCTGGGGGTGTCGCTAAAGGCTCCTAACAATTTCTTTAAATGGGGGAAAAGCTGCTGGAGCTAGCTATAAGACTGCTGAGTGATAGACAGCTACATTAGTGATGGATGGCATTCAGGTTTGTCTGCTTAGGTCATCAGGTGTGTCCTAGTAGTGTTTGGAATAACCAGAATACAGCCAGACCAAGAGAGTTTGGATCTATTCTGGAACCTGTGACTTTGAAGTGCACATTTGTAACCAGCAAGAAAAACATCACATGTTTCGGGTCGGACTGCTGCTATGTGGAGGGCCTTTCTTGTGGTTCTGGCAATGCCTTAGTTTTATAGAGGGGAAGACAGCTGGTTTTGGGTTTCGCTTTTGTTGTCACCTCACTCTCGTGGTTGTCCTAGGCAGATGGCAATCTAGTACACATTGATTATGCCCCTGCCTGGTGTCAACATCTCATGTAGCACTTGGCCCTTAACTGTTCTCTGAGTGCTCATTCCTTCCCTCAAAGGAGTCTGTGCTTATTCTCTTTTTTTTTCCTCCACATAACCCAGCAGCCAGACATGCAGGTGAACTGCTGGATACCCCTGGAGATGAGAGTTAGAAAAAGGACTACCACTGCAGAGTCTTTGACATTGACCTTGCTCTATGGAAGCTTGGCTAAACTCCTTAGCTCAGAATGTGCACTCTTCTAATAAACAATTGTCTTGCACAGTATTATAAAAATAGCTCCTTAACAGTTTAAAAAAGAAAGTATATTCCATTGGTCAGAATGTGCTGCTAATTTCTGATTTCGTACCCATCTGTCTCTGAATATTTCCTGTCCTCATCTAGAAAAACGTCAGGTCAATTTTGGGTAGACGTGACTTAACTCTGTAGAGCCCCTAATGTGCTTCTGAGCACACAGACCACTTGCAGCAACAGACCATTGGGGTGAAGCTGGAAGGTTTTCAGATGAAATGCAAGGCTTGTGTCTTCTCAGTTCTTAAGTGCCACTTTGTAATTGGCAATGGTACAGGGCTGCCAACGACAACTTGATAGCTGGGTCTGGTGGGACTCCTAGGCACCTGGAGTATTTTTCTTTTATATGGGGTCTCTGGGTTTCCTGCTGTATTGGGAGTGGTTACTGGGAGCAGAAGGTGGGTCGTGAGCCACATGTTCACAGACATTACTTTGTTTTACCACTGCTGGGCAATGTGTTGGACAATCATCATGCAGTTCCATGACCCAGGTTGTGGTGCAGACCCACTGATCCAACTCAGGACTTGGAAAAGTGTGGGTTTTGGGGTGTCTATTCCCTCCTTCACTATATGGGTCCTGGGGGCTGAACTTGGGCTTGGCAGCTAATGCATTTTTTGCTCAAACATTTTGTCAGGCCCTGGTACAGGATTTTTTAATTAACCCTTTTACCGTGCTGATTGAATTGAAGGGGTGTTAGGGATAGGAACTTAATAATTGGACATCACTACTTTTGCCATCTGATGCTCATAGCTTCCCTGGCCTTCCCACAAGAAAAGGAGTCTGCTGATTTCCTCTCACATAAAACTCAGTGTGCAGACATGCAGACGAAATGCTATAAAACCCTAAGAACTGACAGTTCTTAAGACTAGAGAGCCACTGGGGTCTTCTGTTTTGGCATCTGACTTGTAATATGAAAATAGGTTGGTTGATCGTCCCTATATTGCTGACCAGTTTATATTTTTATTAACTATGTCTCCAGTGGACCTTTGCAGAGTGATGATGAAGTAATGTGTGTTCCCTGTGCTAACAGGAAGGTATCAACCTTCTAGACCTTTATGGTTGGCTGTTCATGGAGGAGAGTTTGTCTGATTTACCCCTTGAAAGGAATTTTTGAATTCAAGTTCATACAAAAACACCTCGACTTATTAATAAAAATTACCTTGTAAATCTGCCCTATTTTGATGGGAAGATTGTCCTTTAGTTTTACAGTGTGGTGATTAATTGGAGCCTTTAATAATTGGCTTGTTGGAAGTAAAAGGTTTAATGTAATGATGCACTAAAAGCCTTTTTCTGAAATAAAGAATAATTACCAACATAAAATACTGTGGAAAACCTTTCTGAGTGTCAAGATTTTAAAAACCTTTTTTGCAAATGTATCTGACTAATGCCTAGGTTGGCTGACTGTTTCCAGGGTGGACATGATATAATGTCCACTTGGAGTTTGTATATGTTACCATTATCTTACTCTGTCTGCATTCTGCCTTCTAGCCACGAAGGAGGACAGGAGAGCAGAGGACAGAACAGTGGCAGCAGCTACAGTCCCAAAGAAGACAGTTCCTCCGGGCTCCTTGATGGGCAGGCACACTTCACCTAGAAACCTTGTTCCAAAGAAGCTTCCACCTTATGCTAGCATGGCAGGAGCCAAACAAGCCATTAAGAAGCTGCCCTCAGGCTTCAAGGGTACCATCCCCAAGAGGCCATGGCCCTCAGCTACCCCTTCAGGCACTTCTGCCAGACAGGCAGGACCAACACCTGTGACAGCTGCTTCCAAAAAGTTGCCGGGCTCTGCTGCTGTGGTGGGAGTTATCAGGAAGCCAATGTCTGCCAATGTCTCAGCAGCCTCTCCAGCCCCAGGACGCCTTGGGCCTGTGAGCCCAGCCCCATCACAGCCCAATTCACAAATTCGGCAAAATATAAGACGTTCCTTGAAAGAGATTTTGTGGAAAAGGTGGGCTATTATACATGTTGTACCTTTTGCAGATATAGCATTGATGATAGTATTCTAGATTTCCCCACTAGGAAAGTGCCCCCTGGTTTATGTAATCCCTCTTTTCATTCTATTCAGAGTCAATGACAGCGATGACTTAATAATGACAGAAAATGAAGTAGGAAAAATTGCCCTCCACATTGAGAAGGAGATGTTTAACTTGTTCCAGGTTACTGATAATCGTTATAAGAGCAAATATCGCAGCATCATGTTCAACCTTAAGGATCCTAAGAATCAGGTCTGTGTACCCCCAACTATATGTTGGGACTTCTTGACCCAGAATAGAACCTTACCTTCATTTCTGTTAGCTTCACAGTGACATAACAAGTAGCTTTGGGAGCACCCTTTCTGTCCTTGTCAGTTCTCATCTTCCCTGCCACAACTACCATTTTACAACCCCTCTCCTTCCATTTTACTAGGTAGCTTAAATTTTGCTGTAAAATTCACATGCCCACTACCCTAAGATTAAAGTTTTTCATCCCAGTTTTCAGGGATGTCTGGTGGACCTTTTTTTTTTTGTTTTGGGTTTTTTGGGGTGTTGGGGCAAGGTCTCACCAAAGCTTTGGCTGGCCTGGGTCTTGCTTTGTAGACCTGGCTGGCCTCAAACTCTTAAGAGATCCACTTGCTTCTGCCCAGCATGTTCTGGGATTAAAGGTGTGTGCCAGCACAGCTGGGTTCTAGCAACCTTTTCTGCTTTGCCTTCCTTCCTCTTCCGCATAATATGGGCCACCCCTTGCAGTTCTCAACCCTGCCTAGCATGGTGCCTCTCCCGCTTTCTGCTTCTGGGGTTGTTTATAGTGTTCTCCAGACTCTGAGCACACAGAACCTCTGTTTTAGAAGCAGAATCAAGTGCCCTGGCTACATCGCCATGGTCTCCAGTCCCATGGTAATATTTTTCTGCCTGTAACTTTGTTTTTGCAGGGTAACAGGGTCTGACTACGTTACCCTGGCTGGCCTCAAACTCGGATCCCTGTGCTGGGGTTAAAGGTGTGTACAGGGCTAGAGAGGTGGCTCAGCCGTTAAAGGCTAGGCTCACAAAAGTATAAAAGGTGTGTTCAGTCTGGCCTTGTGACTGCTGTCTCTGAGGCCATCTTGTGCTTCTGCTTCCCAGGTGTGCACCACCTCTCCTGCCTGCCTGCTACATTCCAGGTTGCGTACATGATTTGTGATGCTAAGAAGGCAAGGAATCTGCAGATAGCCTTGAGTTCAGCTCTTAAGCTGCACCATTGCCTACTCAAGAGAGGCTATCCATAGTGGGTAGAGGTTCTACCTCTGCAGGGTTCAGTTCTTGGAGTATTCAGGGTCCATCTGATTTCCACTGTGGTGCTTTGTTTCTTCATATTGACTCAGAGTAAAAGAAAATGCTAAAGGTGTGTGGATGAGAAAATAAAAGATGCTTTTTTTTTTTAATAGGGGCTCTTCCATCGAGTTCTTCGAGAAGAAATCTCCTTGGCAAAACTTGTCAGAATGAAGCCTGAAGAACTAGTATCTAAAGAACTTTCCATGTGGACAGAAAAGCCTACAAAGTCTGTGAGTACTGAGGAGGATGGTTGCCTGAGGCCCTAGGGGTTTCATTTTTCCAGGATCAATAAGCTATGTGTAGATAGATGAATATTCCTCCTACCTGGAACCCCAAACTGAGCCTTCATTTCTATCCTCCTTGTTGTAGGTGATAGAGCCCAGGACTAAGATGCTTAATGAAAGCAAGAAGAACACTGCTAAGCCAGAAACTATTCCTGACATGGAAGATTCTCCACCAGTGTCAGATTCAGAAGTGAGCATTTGGGGTGTCCGGTGTTTGCACAGGGATCAAGACTAAGAATTCCTAAGTCACTGAACAAGTCTATATGTATGCATGGAGCAGTGTGCTCCAAGTGCTATTCATTGTGATAATTTGGGTTCCTTTACTTTTTTGAGACAGTCTCTCTTTGTCGTAAAACTTTTCATCTCTGGAATTTGGGGATTATAGTCCTGTCTTGGTGGGCTTGTTTGTTTGTTTGTTGTTTGTTTTGTTTTGTTTTTTTCCAAGTCAGGGTTTTGGACCTTGTTCTGTAGACCTGGGTGGCCTTGAACTCAGAGATCAACCTGCCTCCACCTCCAGGCCTTTGGCACCACTCCTAGCTCCCCATTGGTTCTTCACCGTTTGTAATATTAATTTAGAGATGGATTGGATTTGGAAAGGAACTTGAGCCAAGCATGTTGGCATTTACTTGTAGTCCCAGTACTTTGTAGATCAGTGGTTCTCAAGCTGTGGGTTGTGAACCTTTGAGGCTAGAGCGACCCTTTCACAGGGGTCACATATCAAATATCCTGTATATGAGATACTTGCATTAGGATTCATAACAGCAGCAAAATTGCAGTATTAAAGTAGCAACAAAAATAATTTTATGGTTGGTCGGCATTAGAAAGGTGGAGAACCACTGTGCTAGATGGAAACGAGAGGGTCAGGAGCTTCAGGGTTATCCTCTGCTACATTTTGAGAGTCAGGAGCTTCAGGGTCATCTTCTGCTACATTTCAAGACATTGTTTCAAGAAAACAACAAAGTCAAGACCTACTTATGTTTCAATTTTAGGAACAACAAGAATCAGTAAGAGCTGCCCCTGACAAGAGCACAAAGCCTCTTCTTGATGTCTTCAGCAGCATGCTAAAGGACACAACAAGTCAGCATCGGGCTCATCTTTTTGATTTAAACTGTAAAATTTGTACAGGTGAGCATAATTTGGGCCTGAGACTTTGGAAATGAGACAAAATTGGGGTTTGTTTAAAATTGCTCTTTTAGAGATAACAGTGTTCCAGCCAAGCTTACACAGAGTGGCTTTCTGGTACTTACATAGCCTTGCCTCAATTGCTTTTGATTAGCATAAGAAGCCACATTCCCTGCTCATTGAGCTATGTTCTTGAATGTGTCTTCCTCATACCTCATACACTTTAGGTCAGGTTCCGTCATCGGAGGATGAACCAGCTCCTAAAAAGCAAAAGCTTTCAGCTTCTGCTAAGAAAGAAGACTTGAAGCCCAGGCATGACAGCCCTCCATCTGATCCAGTTCCTAACACTGCTGATGAAGGAATTGCAGAGACACTGTCTGAACATGCCTCTGAGCCAGACCTGGAGAATTTGTCTAGTCTGAACCAGGAAAAAAAATGTTTTCCTGGGCCTCCAGGTGATGGCCATCCTGAGCCCTCACCACTGGATGGCCTCTCTCCCTGCTCTGCCTCTGGTGGGAGTGGGGTGGTCACCACAGTCACAGTGTCTGGCCGAGACCCCAGGACCGCCCTGAGTGGGTCATGCACAGTCACAGCCTCCATGGCAGCCCACCTGGACAACTCCCACACATCAGAAACCAAACTGGACACGCTGAAGCCTCCTTTGACTCCTGCAGTGGTGCCTAAGTCCATACTGGCTAAGCCGTCCTCCTCTCCTGACCCAAGATACTTGTCAGTACCACCGTTACCAAATATGAGGTAGGTTTTTAGGATGGGGTCTGAGCAAAGCTCAAACTCTTGCTTTAGACTGACAAGGAAAGCTAGTGATTAGATATAGCAGAAACCTGGCTTTAGTATCCTAGAAATGCTCCATCTCTTGGATGCCTAATTAATATTTCAGTGTCATTCACGTCTTGATTTTAAGTTTTTAACTTAATGGCCATTCTGATTTGTTGCCTGATCAACTTATTTTCATGGCCAAATGTCTAAGTCATTATGAATTAAATAGTTTCTTGGTAACGGAAGCCATCAACATTGGTGTTCTCTTCTGCTCTCAAGTATGAAGTCACCATACTTTGAAGTATCCATTGTATAAAAGAAGTTGCCACTTTTCTTATGGTTTTTTTTTTTTTTTTTTTTTTTTTACAGCATTTCAGAATCACGATCCCCGCCAGAAGGAGACACAACCCTCTTTTTGTCTCGACTCAACACAATTTGGAAAGGATTTATTAATATGCAGAGTGTTGCAAAATTTGTCACTAAGGCATATCCTGTCTCTGGGTGTTTGGATTATCTTAGTGAGGTTAGAACCAAGAAGTCTCCCTCCTTCCCTCTCTCTTTCTCCCCCCTTTCCCCCTTCTCTCTCCCTCTCTTCCTGTGGGTGTGTGGGTGTCTCTTGGAGGAATCAGATCCATGCTGCTCTTAATGTTGTGTGGCCAGAGACAGTCAACTGGTTCCCTTCTCAGGTGGATTATTTCCTCGTATTTGACGTGCCTCTGCTTCTGAACATAATATCCTTGGGAGAAAGGTGGTTGTCCTCCCACTCTGGCTTTAGGTGACACTTTGTAAAGTGGTAGTGGTTTTGTTGTGCCATCTGGTGTTTTGGAATTGTGCCAGTCTCTGAAGACTGGAGGTCTGGTGTTGACTGGATGTTTTCTTGTGTAGGATTTGCCAGACACCATCCACATTGGTGGAAGGATTGCTCCAAAGACGGTTTGGGATTATGTCGGCAAGCTCAAGTCATCCGTGTCCAAGGTACCTGCTTACAGTATGATCTCTGCAACACTGGGAGATTGTGTTTGCTTGAACTTTTTTTTTTTAAGTTCTCATTTTGTTGGGCTAAGACTTGAAACATTAGCCAATAACTTACTAGATTTTGAAAGTGTTTATAAGTACATAAAGATGTGAAGGTATACTTGACTAATAGTGATAGGAGCTTGTTTCTAATTTGTAGTAGTGTGAGTGCATTCAAATGTACACAGGCTTTGCTTCCCTCTTTCATGACTAAGAGCAAAGAAGGTAGGAACTTGGAGACATCCTGGCTCAGGCACACACAATCTTAACCTCACACGGAGGCTTTGGCTTTCTAAAAATCCCTCAAGTCAGCTGTAGCTGATGTGTGTGGGGTTTCTTTTGAACATGGTCTGTAGTTCGTACCTGACTCACAGGAGAATGTAAACTGTATAGATTGACCTAATAGTGGGGAGGTACCCAGATGGCACCTGCTGCTAGTGTGTCTTGTATGCTGTGATCCCCATCAGACACACCTAAGCTAACAACTGTACACAGTTGCTCACTGAAAGTCCTGGGATTGGAAGTGGTTTTAGCCCAGAAGTCTGACTAGAGTGTGTGTTATTTACACACAGTGTGAGTTAAGTGCAGATACTAGATCTGACAGTCAGACCTGCCAGGCAGTGTAGTGTGTCTGTTCTCGGGTCTGTATCTGGAGGAGGGTTGCTCAGGGCAGCCCAGGCATGCTTCTCTGTGCTCTTTTCTTACAGGAGCTCTGTCTGATCCGCTTCCACCCCGCCACAGAGGAGGAAGAAGTCGCCTACATCTCTCTCTACTCCTATTTTAGCAGCCGTGGCCGCTTTGGGGTTGTAGCTAATAACAACAGGCATGTCAAGGACCTATACCTGATTCCACTGAGTGCTAAGGACCCTGTGCCATCCAAACTCTTGCCCTTTGAGGGCCCAGGTAAGCACCCAGTTTCTGGGAGGTGTAGGCACAGTCAGTCCCCACATAATCCTCTACACTGACACAGTCCTCTGAGGTTGTCACAGGGACATCTGCCAACTGTCCCAAACTCCCAGGAACTAGATTAGGACAACCAGTGGAACCATGCCTGGCAGGAGAATCTTTTCTCTGTGATGTAGGCACATGGCTCTAAAAGTGTCTCAGTTCATATAAAAATTGACTCACTACTTACAGTCAGGGAACTGTTCAAATGCCAGGACCAAGAACCAGACCTAGAGAGGAAAGACAGGGTTTGCCTGGACTCAGGGTGCCTTCCACTCCAGAAATAGTTGCTATTGCTGTTGCTACTCTGCTCAAAGTGAGCTGGCCTCTTGCATTCTAAGGTGCTTCTCCACAGGACCTGATTCCTAAGGGTCCACTAACAGACCACAGACCCATAGAGGAGCATCTCAAGATGACTATTTTTAGTCACTGCACATACTCTAGAAAGTTCTTTTGTCTTTTCAAACTATTTAAACTCGCTCTTTCCTTGGAAGCATTGCTTAGCAAATTACATATAAAGAAACGCGCACTGGCGTTCAGGTGACACGGAGGGATCTGGTCCAGTGATGTCCAACGCTGCCAAGCGTCTTCAAGGAATTTTCAGGGTTTCAATTAGGGAATTGGCAGTAGTTGCCTAAATTGGTCTCTTTGATCATAATGTCCCCAGAGGATTAGTCTTACCTAAAAGCCAGTGGGTTTGACATGTGCTAAATATTCCTTAAAATGCTGTCATAGAGGTAGCTGATGAATGCCCCAAGCACTGTATTGTATACCACCTGGACTACACCTACACCTGCTAGGATGCTGAAGTCCCAAGCTCACTGCCCAAGCACAGTCCTCTGCCAGCTACAACCTGCTCCTAGCTCATGGCATGGGTTTACCTGTGCCTGCAGTTTCAAAATTTGTGCACATTAAGGTATTGGTTGGTGCCCTAATGCAGGGGTTAAATGTTAATGGGCATGATACAGTAGGTGATTTTAGTGCCCAGCACATTTCAAAAGCAAAGTGTGTTCTGTGAAGCCATATTGGGGATTTTTAAAAAAATGCCACTGTGGGTGGCACAAATTGTCCTGGAAGTGCTCGATGACAGCCATGTGAAGAGGTCTGGCCAGCATATTCCATGACCATGGGGAAAGAGGTATCCAGTTCTCCGGGAAGTGAAGATCCAGAAGCTGACCCTTGGCAGGCACCTGTGTGAAGAGCGGCCGGTCGCTTAGATGTGTCTCAGGTGGCGGGTAGGAGTTTAGTGTCCATGGGTGGTACCTGGAGTGAGGGCAGGTACTGCCACTGAGTACCCTCCTCTCAGGTGGAAAAGCACACCATTTATTGCAGGAGTGTGAGTTAGATCCCTTGCCTCCAGTTTGCTTAAAAACAAAAGCAGTGCTTCATCCTTTATATTCTCTCTATCCCATCTCCATCTCAGCATTGACAAATGAGGAGAGACTGTTGGGAGTGTTGAAGCCTGCAGAGTATATGGGCGTTGGGGTACATGAGGGCCCTTAACCAAGCAGGACTTGGACAAGGTTCCCAGTGGCCAGGGCCAGGAAGGAGACCACCAGAGGAATGGCACCATCCATTGTGGCTGCACAGTTATCTGGCTGCAGGGTCGTGGGATAGCCAGCCGGGACAAGACAAGGCCATACTGTGCTTCCAATTTGACAGGGTTTGGGGGTTGGCTTATTGTACCCCACTAAGAGATGAACACTCATCACCCAGACTCAAGAGGGGCCCACTTGCTGAGGCCTTGACACTGAAAGGCACACTCAAAAGATAGGAAGATTCCCGTCCACAGTAAATCATAAATGTGTCTTGTTAAAATAAGAATTTAGAAAAGTAATGAAATATTACCTAAAAACTTCTAAGGACTTTTTTTTAAACTTAACGACCAAAATAGTTTATACTTTGCCACAATTACATGTGTGTGGTATTTGCACATTATCAGTACAAACAGCCTTGGTCTAGACCAGGGTTGTGGCTGGACCTTCCTTATGTACTGATGGTTTGACTTGGCATTTTCTAGGTAGAGAGGGTGTGTGTGTGTGTGTGTGTGTGTGTGTGTGTGTGTGCGCGTGCTTGTATGTGCTATAAGTGTGTAAGGCTGGGCTGGAGCCTTGTTCCTGGCTTGGTTTTTCCTGTCCTCATAGTATGTAATCTTCCCAGAAGCCCTGGACACCTTGGGCCATCTCCAGGTAGTAGTAGCTCTGTGCCCTCAGCTGACCAGTGGCCCCATCTGAATACCTAGGTATGTGCTTGCTGGGGTCAATACACATGTCTAGGAAATTACTGGGTTTGGGTCTGCATACCCAAACCCTTTCTCTCAATACAAAGACTGCCATTAGTCTCTGTGAGAGTGGTGCAGTGCTCATCTTGAGCTGCTGTCCTTTTATAGCAAGGGTTAGGATATCCTTGGATGCAGGTAGAGTCAGCCCCATGTAGCATGTGTGCAGAAGATCGTGATGGGAGTTGAGAGGGCCTTGCAGGAAAGTGACCCCCTTGTATGTGTACCTCATTTTCTACACGTGGAACCACAGTATAGAACCTCCCTCTGAATGCCAAGCCTCTTGAGCTCTGTTCTTTGAAGGATGACAAGACCTCAAAAGTACTTAGGTCATACCTTCAGGACACCCACTGCCAGCATTTGCTTCTTGACCGAGTATATGTGGTTCACAGATCTTGTCAGTATATTCTGAGTTGCTGGGTTTCTTATGACTCTAGCGCCCCTGTGATTTTTAATGATTTTCCACAAAAATGCTGCCTGGTCTTAGTCTGCCAGACACTAATGTTTATATCTAGTGTAATTATTTCAAAGGACAGCTAAAAAGCCTAGGTCCCCTTGTCCTCGCTGTCCAGCCTCTCCACACTAGCTTAAATGCTATCTTAAGGTTCTCAGGCGACTTGTGGCCTTAGTTAAGGGAGCGAGACTGGTTTAGTTAGAGGGAGCCCTTCTCTTCTACCTGGCCCTGACGACACTGAGTGAAACCCATGTACCCACCTCATATTTACTCATCAGGGCCTACTGCCAGGCTGGAGAAAACCAAGGGCAATCGGTTTGGTGCCAGTTCCTGCTGCACTCCCCAGTTCACTCAGCATGCCGCCAGTCTCCTCCCCAAGTCACCCTCGGGTGCCCTGAGGGAAAGGAAAGGGCATGTCTCTCTATATAGGAAGCATTCCTCAGGGAGTATCACACGTCAGTGTCTTTGTGTTTACTTTTATAAACAGTTGAAGTAGCTGGAAAGTTCTATGCTTTGAAATATTAGCAGGTAAGCACTCCAGTTTTGTGTATGTGTCAAAGCTTTGCACAGAAACTGTAATCAAAGTCAAATACAGTATCAAATGGAATGTACTACTTTGTCTATCCAAATCAATAAAAATATGTCATGGAAACTGGTCATTGTTTGTTTGACTTGGAACCATGTGGTAGCTAGGGCCACTTGCCCTAGGTCTACCTCTGCTCCTTGTAAGCCAGCATAACTCTCTTCTGGTAGTACAGGGGCTCCCAGTGTCCTGCCAAGTGGTGCACAGCAGAGAACATGGAGACTGGCATACTCCGTGGTGTCCTTTGTGCTGGGCACCTGGAAGAAGATGGACAACGCCCTGTTACCCTAAGCATGCACTGGGTGCAGTGGCTTTTCCCTGGTCTTACAGCTTCAGAGTCAAGGAGGGAGGTCCTGTGCGTGAGTGTGTGTGTGCTAAGTGGGTTGGGAAGTATACAGTTCCCCCCATATTTGCCAAGTGTGTCCAAGTCATACCTAAAAACGCAGTATGCACATTTTATTTTGACAGATTCAATCCATAAAAGGGTTTTCATCTTGAACATGTTGAACATACTGTTAGATTTGGATAGAGATATCAATTTGACAGGTGTAAGGTCAGCTGGAGTCTGCTTTGGGGTGGTTCTGTTAATAAATGGGAACGCTAACATGCACACAGGTCACAGCACCACCTCCCACTGTCTGTAGAAGCAGCTGGTTGTCTTCTTCGGCTACATCTTCAGGCTGTTGCTAACAGGGCTGGATACTGGTCCTGAGAGATGAACTAGCACACCTCTCTGGTGCACCCTTGTCTGGTTTCTCTCCCTGTCTAAAGGCCAGTTAGACATTTACACCATGAAAACAGGGACAGATATGGAGCTTAAAGGGCTTGCTTTCAAACACACTAAACAATGCATCCCTTATAGTTTGATAGCACATTTTAGTTGCATCTGTTAGTCAGTCTCCCACTACTTGCTAGTTGTGTGAATTGACAGCCTCATAAGAGCCCCAAAGAGGGTGGTGAGTAGCTGCCATCCTGTCTAGTGCTGGCTTTTTTGGACACTCTCCCCATCTGCCCTGCAGCTGGGGTGACCTTTGCTTCTCAGGCCATACATCCTACACTCTGGGGAGTTGAATTCTTAACCTGAAGGCTGACAGAATCCCGCAGACCTGGAAAGTGAACCCCAAGAAACCTGGATCTCCACTGCCCCTCCTCAAGGTGTGGGGTAGAGACGGGGACTTGGGGCCTTTGACCCTCATTGACATTTCCTGTTACTTGGCATACCTTGCATACACAATGGAGCAGCACCATTAACTCTGGGACATGCCCTTCACTCCTCAGCGAAGATTCTTCCAAGGCCCAAGATGGATAATTGAATTTGATTGCTCACAAGATGACGCTGCTTCCAGGGTTTTAGTTACCTACAGTTGGATTTTGGGTTTGTTTTGCTCTTGTTTTGTTTTGGCCCAGGCTGGCCTGGAACTCACCATATAGTCTTAAATTGGCTTTGAACTCATGAAAATCTTCCTGCCCTTGGACTCGTGAGCTGATGGATAATACACATGAGCTACTATTCTTTGTGGATATTTTATGTAGCTGTAGGTACACTTGGCAGGCAATAAGGGTTGTTTCAGAACAGGGCTGTGCACTCTGGAGAGGTTAGCCAGAAATGTAGAGAACATGGACCAGTCTTTGGAGCCCTTCAGTATGCACAGAAGGATAGCTGGGTGATTAGAAACATCCGCTGGTAAGATGCCATTCAAGGCAGCACCTGCTGTGCTCGAAACCACATAAACACATCCTGCTGTGCTGAGACACAAGAATTCTTTTTAACAGTACCCTGGGCCCCCCATTGAGTCTTGGTTGCAGTGGAGGCAGAAGTCTGGTACAGTGGAGGACCCATCACCTGCTCCTGGGTGGGCTGTGAGACCTTTCTGGAGTGAGGCAATATAGCCAGCCCCCTTTGTGGAGGACTAGTGGTCCACATTAAACTGCCTACCCCGCCACCTCACACCCGCCCCCCCCCCCAACCCTTAGCACCATGTTCTTCCACAGCGCATGACCCACCCCCAGCCAGCCAGCATCCTAGTGTCAGACTGGATAGAGCCTGGCTTACAGAGCTGCCCAGTAAACTTCATCTTGAGGCTCAAATGTTCCAACAAGTTCTCATAACTCAAACTTGAAAGCTCTACAGATTTGCTCAGAAAAGCTAAAAAACTGGTTTAGCAATTAGTTCAAACTATAGATCTTAACAAGTGGTATAATATCCAGGAAGCAAATAGCAGCTTAAAAATCCCCTTAATTTCTCCTTAGGAAAAGAACTTGATAGCCTTCCACACATTCTGCTCTCCGGGTTTGTTTTTTTTCTACTGCCTAGCTCTGTCTCTGATACACCAGGCAGTTACAGCCCTATCTCTGTTTTTATGCATCCCTCCAGGAAGCAGGAGGCTGACGGCAGAGATTCCTGGAAAGAGGGAGGATGGCTAGGTGTGGGGGCTGGGTAGCCAGCTCTCAAAGAGTGGCCCAGTCTGCCACCTCTATTCTCCATTGTGTGCTAAGCCTTACTGGAATTCAGGAATAGTAACACCCTTATAACTAACTACATATAACTGTCTAAAAGCAATTGTTTACAATAGCTTGAAACACGAATAAAATCTTCGATAGTGATTTAGTTGCTTAAAAATTATAATATGAATTATAGCACGAATGTATTTTCATAACAGCAAATGGAATAGTACGATCAAGTTGATAGCTTGTTTCATTTTACATCTGTACTCTTGATGCTATGTCATTTCCCCCACCCCCAAGTTACAAGTTTTGTGTCCTGGACTTTTCATTCATGCTCTATGCTACACACAGAAGAGGAGTGGGAAGCAGCCCTGGGGAGCAGGCCTTCCTGAGATGGCTCGCCACACCACTGTAAAGGGGTCCTTGCCTTTAAAAGCAGCGTGCCCTGAATCTCCCGCATGCTTCTTTCCAAGGGGTGTGCTCGTTACCACCATTTGGTTCACTGAAGCACAGGACTCAGTGCTTATGAAGACTTAAGCAGTAGGTAGTTGCTATTTATACCAGGTAGACTCTGAACTCACAATCCTGCTGGTGCTGTTGCCTCTCAAGTTCTGGGGTAGCAATTGTGCCCACCATTCATAGCTCAGTAGGAATGTGGTAATATGGATGCCCAGTGAATTTTGCTTTAAATTGAGCTTTGTTTTCTCATTACTGTAGTTCTGACACCAAACAATAAATTCACTGTCATTGATCATTATAGCTTGAGTTGGATTGATCCCTAATTATTTGCTAGCTTAGCATATTTAACTTAACATGTGCAGCTCATATGTTAAAGCTAAAAGGGGGCTGCTGTCTCCTGGTGTGCAATGGGGGCAAATGGGAGAGCGTAGCTGAGACTTTAAAAACATTGTTTGCCCTCAGGAGGCAGAGACAAGTGGATCTCTGAGTTCAAGACCAGGCTAGTCCACAGAGTGAGTTCCAGGACAGCCAGGGCTACACAAAGAAACCCTGTCTCAAAAAAGCATTGTTTCCCAACCTTGCCAGTCAAATGTTCCAACAGCCAGTGACTGCCTATCTCTCTCACATCTTCTATAGCTTTAGTATTTTAGCAACTGAAAAGACAGCATAAAATTTTCGTGTGGGATGGGTTTGCTTATTATGACTTGAGTTTTTGTTTTGTGATTTCTGATTGTGCATTAATCTATCATGGGTCCCTTTCAGACTGCTAGAGTTGGGATGAGGTGGGTATGCTGTTACATGCAAAGTCTACAATCCCTTGGCCTTCTGCAGTAAGCTTCTTAGTCTTGGGGTTTGATTTTCCACAGATCTCTTCCTCTGCCTGTTGAAGTTCCCCATTAGTCAAAGTTAACCTCTGAAGGGTGGAAACCAGGCTTAGATTCTAAAGTTTGTGTAAATATTTTGTTTTCCAGGTCTTGAGTCACAACGTCCAAATATAATACTTGGGTTAGTAATATGTCAGAAAGTCAAACGTCCTACGAGCGCTGGAGAGGTAGACAAGACAGATGAGAAGCGGACTCGACCCCAACAGGAAGAATCAGAGACTTCCATTTATCCCAAAGTACCTGCAGCTTTGCCATCTGAGAAGAAGCCTACCAAGTACCACCTGCACTCTGCAGACACAGCTGCCAGCAGCACCACACCCCCGGGCTCTCCGCCACCCCCTCCTCCTCCTCCTCCTCCTCCTCTTCCTGAACCCCCAGTACTGAAAATACTGTCATCCCTCAAGCCAGGATCCACCAGCACTGTCACAGCACCCACCACATCAGCAGTGGTCACCACCACAGCTTCCCCTGTTGTTTCCGCCACTTCAAAAACAGCCTCACCTCTGGAGCACATCCTACAGACTCTGTTTGGGAAAAAGAAGTCATTTGAACCCTCTGTCCAAGAGTCTGTCAGGTCTACCCTGTCTCCACACCAGGATCCCAAGGCCAAGGGGGAGGCCGCCATGTCAGCAGCTCCTTTGTTGGATCCAATTGTCCAGCAGTTTGGTCAGTTCTCAAAAGACAAGGCTCTGGAGGAAGAAGAGGAAGATGACCGGCCCTATGACCCGGAAGAGGAGTACAACCCCGAGCGAGCCTTCCATACCCTGCTTGCTGAGCCAGGGAGACGCCATGACGTGGAAAATGTCCCTGAGACAACTGAGAGGGAAGAGGTGGCCTACGACCCAGAAGATGAGACCATCTTAGAAGAAGCTAAAGTGACCATTGAAGACCTGCCCAATCGGATGTGCGTCAAAGTCAGCTCCACTGAGAGGCCTGCTGACTTCACCACCGATGCCACTAATGCCTCTCTAGTAGAGCAACAGAAAATGTTAGAAGAGCTAAATAAGCAGATTGAGGAGCAAAAGAGGCAGCTGGAGGAGCAAGAAGAAGCCCTTCGGCAGCAGAGGGCTGCCGTTGGCGTGTCCATGGCACATTTCTCTGTGTCAGATGCACTGATGTCACCACCTCCCAAGTCCTCCCTGGCCAAGACGGACCTGTTCTCTCAGGAACAGCAGGCCCAGGACCCAAGTCACGGAGCCCTGGGTGCCAACCACAACTTAGACTCAAGACAGAGTAGGGACCCCAGGCAGGCCAGGAGGCTGGCTGCTGAGAACACTGAGAGTGAACCTCTTCCCAGGGCTCCCACAGGAAGCACACCTGGCCCACAAAGCACCTTGCCTGCCAGGGAGACTCCTGCTGGGACTGCAGCAGTCCAGGGGCCTGTGTTGGCTCCGGAAGCCAAGGAGTCAGTGGCTGTTCCCTGGGCTCCAAGTGAAAACGCTGTGTTGAGGCCGGAACATGATATCCAGAAGTGTGAGCACCCTGGTAACCCTGTCGCGTTGCCCCTGGACAACAGCCACCTTCCTGCTGCTGGTGATGGCGCAGCCAGACCCGCAGCGCCCCGCAGAGTGCTGCTGCCCACGCCTCCTAGCGCCACCTTACCACCCAGCTTCCCTTTGCAGCCTGAAGCCCAGAATTTCACTTCCGGAGGAAGGGAGTCTTTTCCAGGGCCCATGTATCTGTCTCAGGAAACATCTCTTGGCTCATCCCAATACGAGGACACTCGGGGTGCTCAGTCTGCTGGGAGGAGTGACAGCCCAGCAGCTGATACTGAGGACAGCAGGGAGACACAGCTCAGGACTGGCGAGGGAACTACTCCATTCCTCCAACCTGGGCAGAGGGGAGGGGGCCCTCAGCCCCAGTTTCCTGGCCAGCGTGAACCTTTGCCACGCACTTTTGGGATGTCGGGGCACCATGGCCCCGGTTTCCCAGGACCTAGGGGGCCAGTCCCTCCCTTTTCAGAAGAAAATATTGTTCCAAACAGTGATGGACCAAGAGGCCCACCACCTGCCCGATTTGGGGCCCAGAAGCCACCAATCCCTTCCTTGTTCTCTGGGCAACATGGGCCACCTCCCTACGGAGACAGCAGGGGACTCTCACCTTCTTATCTTGGTGGGCCCAGAGGAGGAACTCCGCCCCAGTTTGAAGAACGCAAGGACCCACATGGGGAGAAGAGAGAATTCCAGGACACGCCATACAACGAGATGGCAGGTACCTCTGCTCAGTGTGAAGGACCAGACCAGGCCCAGTTCATGGGGAACAGGGCACCCTTCCAATTTGGAGGCCAGAGACGGCCCCTGCTGACTCAGATGAAAGGACCCCGTGGAGGGCCTCCGCCATCTCAGTTTGGAGGCCAAAGGGGACCACCTCCTGGCCACTTTGTGGGTCCACGTGGACCCCATCCTAGTCAGTTCGAGACTTCCCGCAGCCCTCACCCTGGCCAATTTGAAGGGCCCAGGAACCAAGCACCTGGTTTCATGCCCGGCCCCCGCGGCGTTCAGCCCCAGCAGTTCGAAGAGCAGAGGGTGAACTCACCACCGCGGTTTGCTGGTCAGAGGGCACCAGCACCCCTGCCGTATGGAGGACCAAGGGGGCCCGCACCCTTTGCCGAGAAAAATGATCAGCCACCTTCTCGGTTTCACTTTCAAGGACAGTCTTCCCAGCCTGTGAAGCCTCCCCCTCGGCCCCTGCTGGAGCTACCCAGCCACCCTCCTCAGCACAGGAAGGACCGATGGGATGACGCAGGCCCGGCCGCTGCCCTGCCTTCCAGTGCTGGGTCTGGGCAGGGCCCTGAGACTGACGGGCAGTGGGCCACGTCCGAGTTCCGAGAAGGCAAAAGCCATGAGTACAGGAGCCCAGCTTTTGAAGGGAGGCAGAGGGAGCGGTTTGAAGGAGGACCTAAAGAAAAGCCTCTGGATGAGGCTGAAGCTCAAGGGTCGGAGAGTCGGCAGGGCCGGGCATTTGAGGATCGGAGGCGAGAGCGCGAGAGAGGCAGAAACTGGAGTCGAGAAAGAGACTGGGAGAGGAGCCGGGAGTGGGACCGGCACCGGGAGTGGGACAAAGGCAGAGATAGGAGCTCCAACAGGGACAGGGAGAGAGACACCGACCGGGCTAAGGAGTGGGACCGAAACCGGGAGAGAAGCAGGAATCGCGACCGTGATCGGGAAAGGCGGCGAGACCGAGACAGGTCCCGGAGCAGAGACCGAGACAGGGACCGTGAGAGAACCCGAGACAGGGACCGGGACCGAGGCCGGGACCGGAAGGACCGTAGCAAGAGCAGAGAGAGCCCTCGGGACCTGAAGTCTGAGGCCAGGACCTCCGATGGGGGCCCTGCCACAGCCCAGGCCTAGAGGCCATTGCACTCAGGGCTGGTGGCAAGACACACGCTGGTGAGGACAAAGACCTCGTGTCAGCTATTGTTCATATAGGCTCAGACTGGCAAAGACCCTTTTAAAAGCCAAGTACATAAAATGTGTTGAGCAAAAAGTTTTTGAAATAGCTATGAACTTAGATGCAGGATATAATATTCTGGACTTCAGGAATTACTGTAATTTTGTGTATAATGGTTTGTTACAAAATTTCCCAACTTTACAATTCTGATGTTTTTTTAATAACTTAATATTTCCATTTAAAATTACAGAAATGGGAAAGTATCTACAAAAGCATATTGCTTTTTTTTCAGATTATAAAGTTATCTTTTCCAATAACTTGACTGGTGTAAGTTTTAAGGGAATTTCAGTGGACCGTAGAGCTAGCTTTCCCTGTGCTGCCATCTCTGCTTCCATATACCCTGAGCTGTCCTGGGGCTCGCAGCGCTGCCCTGGATGGAAAGTACTGTTGAGTGGGTGAGCTGGGGTGTGTGCTTGCAGCTGTGGGAGAACGGTCTTCCTAAGCCTGGCTCCCCACAACGCATCACTTCAGAAGTTTTTTCAGAACATAATTAGAAATATCCCGTCCTAGTGAAAATTGTTACATTTTAAATAACTATTTTTAAATGTTCGAATTTATCGGCCTAAAGAAGAAGCAAAGCAGTTCAGAGTAGCTTATGAGGGAAGAGGCAGGAGGCGTTCAGAAAAGCATTGCCCAGTGCTGTCCTCTGAGTGTCTCTCTGCAGACCCACAGGCCCCAGACAGATGATGGGTTTGGAAGCTTCTCATGGGATGGGGCAATGTTGGTACCAAGTCTGGAAGTGGATTGAGGGTGAAACAGACTGCTTCGTAGCCTTTAGACTACTCCACTGTTGCTGCATAGCCCCTCTGAAGATGCTGTGAGAAGGTCGGCTAACTTATTTGACTGTGCAAATATGTTTGATAGTTCCTTTTATATTTTCATAAACTTACTTTTTCAGATAGAGAATTAGAGATCTTCGTTTGTTCTTTGGAGTCTTTTATTTCACTGTACATCACTACAGATTTTTTTCACTTTATAGCACAAATTTTTAAGTTGAGAAGACATGGAAAAAATAGCAATTTGGGATATTTGCTATTACAAACCAAATGTCAGTAGGTTAAATTACATGAAAGTGTCAATTTCAACATCAAATAAGATGTAAAGGTTTTTTTTAACATATGAAGTAAAATTTTCTAACTTAAATGCACAGCATAAAAATCAAGTGTGTTTCTTTTAGGTTTACTTGGTAGAAATTTCTGTACATTGTATTTTGTATTGCAGAGTGTTATATCACTGTCCATTTAAACACAGGACATCATAGGTTTTGTTACTTGGAGTAGAATAAATATCTACAGAGTTCTTGTCTCTCTCTTCACTCAGCCTTGACCCCCAGTTGTCACAGGTGGAGGCACAAGCATCCCACTCCCAACTAGCAGCCTGCCTTGGATGCTGCCTGCTGTATGGTGTCAGGACCCAGGGAGCAATGTGCTGGCAGGTGTCGATCCTGGTGTCGAACCCTGACTGCATGTGAATGGGCTTGCAGGAAGCCTGCGAGTGTCAGTGAAAACCACTCGTGTTGGAGCAGGGTGTAGTGAGTGCACAGGTGTCATGGGTCGAGTCCAGCCCTTTACTGCTGGCTTTTAAAAAGGAGCCCAGCTGATTGTGGAGCAACGACTCTGGTGGAGTTGGTGGCCCAGCTTGCCTGGGCCCTTGACTGCCACCTGCTGGTAAGACTTGGACCTACATCCGGCTCCTGTATCACCACCTAGGTACCCAGTGCTGCGGGAACTTGGCAGGAAGATACTGACCCAGGCCCTGCAGGTGTAGTGTTTGCTGGGGCTTGGAGGCTGATAGCAACTCGCTCACCAAAACACTTGAACCTGTGAGAGACATTTCAGATCCAACCATATTCAGTCTTATCTTTTGTTTAATAAGATGTGGATTGCATAATAAACATTTATTGGGTATATTATAATTCTGGATAATTCTCAAAGGTATCACACATTCACCCAAACACTTGTTTACAGGAGGGCTTGGTAGCATGTGCATCATAGGCAGGCAGATTTCTCTAAGTTTAAGGCCAGGTTGTATAATGAGACCTTGTCTCAAAAAAACAGTACCATAGTGGCATCTTGTTCCACCAATAGACTTGAGGTACCGGCCTTAGGGGTGTGGCTTTAGGTGTGCAGATTTGATCCCTTATGAGGAAGGGGAGGGGCTCGCTCTCTCTTCTGGCTTCTTCTCTAGGAGTATTTCATCTTCAAGTTTAGATGTGGACTGTACTGGATTTTCATGGGTTGCCTCCAAACTGTGCTTCTGTTGACTCCTTGACAAAGCTGGCCTCCTTTAGTGATGACTAAAGCCTTCATACTCCTTTGGAACAGGGCTCACCTTTTCAAGTAGTTTGCATTTTTCTTCAGTTAGCACAGGAAGCTCAAGAGCAAGTCTTTTCTCTCTTCCCCATACACTCGGCTTCGAATTGATTGGAAGTCTCTCCACAGAAACAGGAGAACAGTAAGCAGTCCAAGGATAAGCACACGCATTGCCAATTCCAATGAGAAAAAAAAAGAAAAACGGCAGCAACTCCAGAACCCGCCCCATGCACCCGTGGTGGCCCCTGGCCCTGCCACCGCCACACCCATTGGGGGAGCTATGGTTTACTCTGTTACTGATTCTGAAAAGCCTGCAAACAAATTGAACACCCAAAAGGATTTATACTTAATGCAAATGGGAGCCCATTTGTGTGAAAGATTTAAAAGGTATGGAGGAAGCAGTAGTTTCTTACGGCATGCACTCACTATGTGTGAAGCAGCTAGTAAGGGAATGAGTCACAAGAAATAGTAACTCCTAATGACTGGCTTCAGTTAGTCTCAGCAGTTTCAGAACGGGGTCCACAGCTGCAGTGGAAGTCACATTGGAGGAAAAGAGCCCAAGGATCCCCCCCGAACATCAAGGCAGAATCAAAGGTTACGAGGCTTTCCAAGATGAGATTCTTGGTGAGGGCCGTCTTGCTGATGCAGAGACACGGAGCTGCATACAATGAACAAACACATCTTGTCCCTATGCCATACAGTAGCCTTGAATGCTTGGGACAAGATTCACGAACCAGGGAGAAGAATTGAGTCATATACTAAGGTTATACAAGGTCCAAAAGAACCCTTTAGTGACTTTTTGCAAAGATTGACTAAAGCTGAACAAATAGAGTTGGCAGATCCAGAAGCTAGATGAGTACTCATTGAATCTCTGGCTTTTGAAAATGCTGATTTAGAATGCAAAAAGGTACCTGGGCCCTTAAAGATCAGATCAGCACCAATGGATGAATGGATCCTGCACATAGCCAATATTGAGCCTTTTGATTATAACACTGAGGCTTGGGTAGGAGAAGCGATCTCCAAAGGTATGAAAAGACATCAAAATACCAAATGTTTTAATTGTAGAATAGGCAGGGCATCTGAAAAGAAATTGTAGACAAGGTATTCCTAGAAATAACACTTCTGGGAATGATCCAAAAATAAGATTCCCCCAACCTTCTGGATTACGTAGAAGATGCAGCAAAGGCGGACATTGAACCAATGAGTAGATCAGGAGACAAGACCTGGGGGCTGGAGAGATGGCTCAGAGGCTAAGAACACTGGCTGCTCTTCCAGAGGTCCTGAGTTCAATTCCCAGCAACCACATGGTGGCTCACAACCATCTGTGAGATCTGGTGCCCTCTTCTGGCCTGCAGGCATATATGGAGTGCTATATAAATAATAAATAAAATCTTAAAAAGACTAGATCTGAAGTCACTACATCTGTTCATGGTCACAATGGGTGGCAGTCATGTGTGTAAGGCCAGGACCCTCCTGAGTCTCTCATGGAGTGCCTGTGTTAGGGGATACTTTGAGAACAGAAGAAAGATCGGGGTGGCCAGGCTGGGACAAGGGTAAGAGGCACCACAGGGAACAGCCTGGGGAACTAGGATTTTTAGGCACACATATTAAGATACACAGGACTAGAATAATACCGGCTAATTTTATTTGGGGAGAAGTCACTTACATGAGAAACGGAAAACCCATGAGTTCCAGCTCCGAGGATCAATGCCCGCTGCTTTCCATGACCAGAACCAAGAGAGAGCAAGCCTGTCCCGGACCCCAGACCAAGTCCCACATGCTCATGTACAAAGCAGTGACCATGGCCAAATGGGTGTGGTCGATGCTGAAGGTGCATCTGGTAGAGCTCTCACTACAAGGACTGCTCTGTGTCTTGATGGCAATACTCTCACATGACTTATTTCTCAAGAACTGAGATTCAGAAGAGACTCCATCTAGTAAGTGGGTGGCAGCTCTTGGGGAGTTCAGATCCCAAAGGGGAGGTATGGAGTTGGTGGGGAAGAAGGAAAGACTGTGTGGTGATATTTTGTTTATGATCTAACAAATAAAGCTCGCCTGAAGATCAGAGTGCAGAGCTAACCACACTTGTTGGCCATAGAGGCCAGGCAGTGGCAGCACACACCTTTAATCCCAGCATTTGAGAAGCAGAGGCAGATGGATCTCTGTTAATTCAAGGCCACCCTGGGTTTAGATTAACTCAATCTAAAAGAGAAACAAAAACTAGTTGTGGGGGCTCACACCTTTAATTCCAGCACTAAGGAGGTGGAGACTGATGTGACACAGCTGGGTGGAGATAGGAATATAAGGTGGGAAGAAACAGGAGTTCTATGAAATCTGAGCAGCAGTCAGTCTGAGGAGGCAGTCAGATTGCCCTTTTGGTCTGAGTATTGGTAGAGATAAGAACTTTAGCTTGTGGTGGCACAAGCTCGGGAGGCAGAGGCAGATGGATCTCTGTGAGTTCTAAGCCAGCCTAGTCTACAGAGCGAGTTACAGGACAGCTAAGGTTGTTAACACAGAGAAACCCTGTCTCAGAGGGAAAAAATAAAACAACAACAACAAAAACCTCTAAGGGCTGGCTGCTCTGCTTCTCTGATACTTCAGCTTTCACCCCCTGATAGTGGATTCTGAGTTTTTATTAAGACTAAAGAGAATTTGTGCTATTAAGGCCAAAGAGACTGGCACTGTTAGGTCCTGGAGCACAAAAAAAAAAAAAAAATGACCATCAGACCACTGAGGTCTATTAACTAGAAGCAACTTTATTTCATCACTGCAGGGTACAAAAACTTCTAACTAGTTAGGACCACAGACCCGAGAAGGGCCATAAGCGTCTTTTTATAGCAAAAGACAATATGCAGGGTGGGGAGTGAGTACCTAGAGTTGGGATTTACAGCCTCTGGGGAGTGCATCCCAGACTCAGGATTTATGACCACTGGGGAGTGCACCCCTGAGTTGCAGTGGAATTTTACAACCTCTGATTACAGGGTGTTCAAGATGTTTACATAGCTGTGAGTGTTTTAACTGCCCCCCCACCCCAAATCTGGGGAGAATGTAGGGCAAGGAGTCAGGTAGCTTGTTTGAAGCAGCTATCAGCTCCAGTACCCCTCAAATGTGTATGTAGGCTACAGACATACAATTTTTCATATTCCTGGGCTCTTCAGCACTATCTGAGGATGAATTGGAATGGCTGCCACTTTATTGCAGAAAGGCTACATTTTCTTTTTTTTTCTTTTTTTTTTTTTTTTTGGTTTTTTTTCGAGACAGGGTTTCTCTGTATTGTTTTGGAACCTGTCCTGGAACTCGTAGACCAGACTTGGTCTCGAACTCACAGAGATCCACCTGCCTCTGCCACCACCTTCGGACTAGGGCTACACCTTTTTATACTCTGTAATTGCACAAAGGATTAAATGGGAGAAAGGGGGCATGTGATCTGGGGTGTGTGTGTGGCTGGTGATCAGGAATTGAGAAAGCTAGCATTGACCTTGACAAGTTAAGAGGCACCAGTCATGTTAATGGAAGGGCCACAAGAATACCCCCCCCCCCTACTTAGCAAGCAGGAACTCTCCTCAAGCCCCTGAGAGGATCAGGGATTATTATTTTTTTTTTGTCTAAATGCCGACTTTGGGAAAAGTGACTTTTTGGGGGGATCAGACACTCCATTATAGAATATTGCTGGGTTTTGTATGTCTTAGTTTATTCAAATATCCAAAGCTTTTTTTTGGGGGGGGGTTTCGAGACAGGGTTTCTCTGTGGCTTTGGAGGCTGTCCTGGAACTAGCTCTTGTAGACCAGGCTGGCCTCGAACTCACAGAGATCCGCCTGCCTCTGCCTCCCGAGTGCTGGGATTAAAGGCGTGCGCCACCAACGCCCGGCAAAATATCCAAAGCTTTAATGTGAGCAGAGTTAAGGCAAGACAAATATTAGTGTGACCCTGAGTAGACCTTAGGAATTTATAAATCTCCATGATCAAATATCAAGCATATGTCACTTG